TATTCTCAAAAGTATTGGGACACCTGCTTTTACACGCACATGAACTTTAATGGCATCCCAGTCTTAGTCCGTAGGGTTCAATATTGAGAGTGCCCACCCTTTGCAGCTAAAACAGCTTCAACTCTTCTGGGAAGGCTGTCCACAAGGTTTAAGAGTGTGTCTATGAGAATGTTGACCATTCTTTCAGAAATGTATTTGTGTGGTCAGGTACTGATGTTGGACGAGAAAGCTTGGCTCGTAGTCTCCGCTTTAATTAATCCCAAAGGTGTTCTATCGTGTTGAAGTCAAGACTCTATGCAGGCCAGTGAAGTTCCTCCACCGTGGAGGTGTTCCGTGAAATTTCCTTGCTCCTAAATATTCCTTGGTCAACTGTTAGTGGTATTATAACAAAGTGGAAGCAACTGGAAACCACAGCAACTCAGCCATGAAGTGGTAGGCCACGTAAAATGACAGAGTGGGGTCAGCGCATGCTGAAGCGCACAGTGCGCAGAAGTGGCCAACTGTCTGCAGAGTCAATAGCTACTGACCTCCAAACTTCGTGTGGCCTTCAGATTGGCACAACAACAGGGCGTAAAGAGCTTCATGGAACGGGTTTCCATGGCCGAGCAGCTGCATCCAAGCCTTACATCACCAAGTGCAATGCAAAGTGTCGGATGCAGTGGTGTAAAGCATGCCGACACTGGACTGTCTGGGTTTGGCGGTTGCCAGTAGAACGGTACTTGCCTGACTGCATTGTGCCAAATGTAAAGTTTGGTGGAGGGGGGATTATGGTGTGGAATTATTTTTCATGGGTTGGGCTTCGCCCCTTAGTTCCAGTGAAAGGAACTCTTTAGGCATCAGGATACCAAGACATTGTGGGAACAGTTTGGTGATGGCCCCCTCCTGTTTCAACATTACCGCGCACCAGTGCACAAAGCAAGGCCCATTAAAGAATTTCTATTACATTTGTTTTTGCAGGAAACTCTGTCAGAAAAGTTGCTGAAGAAACTAACACTTTCTACTAGTCAGAAGTTGGCTCGCCTTGCCATTCACTTGGCTGCTTGGATTGTATCAATAGGGCTGGCAGTTGGTTGTTGTGCTGGAGTTTACTTCCTCTGTGTACAAGTGGGAGCATCTACACAGGTAATCTCTTTTGTAGCCTTTTGAACCCTTTTTTGAAATGGACAAATATAGCACAATCTGGATTTACAAGATGTTCAGAATGTGCTTCGCAGACTTACGAAAATGAGTGTCATCTTTTTGAGAACAGTGAAGATTCTACTGTGATTGTATAAGAAGAACTAAACATCATAATAGTAACTGTGTCACTTTTGCTGGCTATTCAATAACCACAATGTACAGTAACTGACCTGCACATCACTAACAATGCACCGTAGGAAGCAGGAAATAGGCACTGAAGTCTGGTGCCTCATTTGCATGGTGAACATTTTTCATCACCAGTTTAAAAAAAAAAAATCAGGATTTCCCTGCAATAAAATTCAGAGCGAGATGCTCAGAAATCCTTTTCCAGGCACATTCTACCAAGTAAATTGGATGTTGTGGTCCAGATATCTTTTTAAAGCCATGCGTGGAATGGCACAGGAAAAAAGTTTGGTCCAAAACAAGTATAATGCTAGGCCCTGGAACATAGGCCACGTGCCCCAGGTCTTCTACTGAGTGCCCCAGGTGAACTTTGCAGTAATTGTTGTCATCATACATAGCATGACAAACTTACATGGTATGAAAATGAGAGAATTTGGCACTTTAACAGAATTACTGGGTTTCCCTGTTTTCCAGGACTTCGCAAAGCATATTTCATTTTCACTTAACCAATTAATGCCACACTGAAGTATAGTAGTTTTAGATCCAGATCTTATTCTAAGAAAATGTTTGTAAACAGTAGCTTTAGGGGCAGCTCAGGATGCTGGGGGTATAAGTGGAGGGTTTTAAGTTCTGTCTAAGCATGAGGGATGCTTAGACAGAAAATGAAAGATGCAATGTTATATTGTATGTGTTTTCTTTAAACAGGACACAAATTTGAATGATCTAACAAAGCAAGCAGCGACATTGTTGGTTCCAGTGGTCGTCTCCCTTATCAATCTCATCATGCCTCTAGTCTATGCCCTGTTTGGCCTTGTGGAAAAATTCAAGTATCCCCATCATGAGATCTATGTGGTCATTATAAGGTAAGGCTTTTCTTTTATTTGTTATGCATTTTCTTATTTCATATTTGTAAATAAAAACTGAAATAACAATTATGATTTATTATTTAAATGGTTATGTCTTCATAGAAATATTCTCCTTAAAATCTCAATTATTGGAATTTTATGCTACTACTGGCTTCAGAAAGTTGCAGAAAGTAACTTTGAGGTAAGTCACTTCTTTGTAAGTGGTACTGTATATCTGTTTTGGCAGACTTTGGCCCTGTGAGTACTAGTAATATTGTTTTCTGCAGTTACCCATTAAAATGTATATCAAGCCAAAAACATTTTTTTTTAGATTTGATTGTATATGAACATTTTAATAGCCTGTTGTATATGGTACTTGTTACACCTTAAGACTCTTGAAGACCAGGTGTTTACACCCCCTTCCTGTCCAGGCCATTTTTCAGTATTCAGCGCTGTGGTACTTTGACTGACATTTATTCCGTCACGCAACGCTGTACTGAAATTATTCTTATACCATTGTTTTGGGACAGATAGAGCTTTCTTTTGGTGGTATTTAATCACCACTGTCGCTTTCTGATAAAAAATTCGGGGTGGGTGTTAGATGGCTGTGCTATAAGGGTGCTGTTGTAATTATTAAATACATAAAAATTATGTCATGTGCTGAAAACAAATGGATCTGCAGAAGGAGCACTTTGATGCCAAGGGTGGAGAATGCAGACATAGAACTGTTTGCTTTTAACTGAGAATGTAGGAGTAATCCTTCCTCTTGTGGTGTTTTATTTGATTTTATCTTTGGACATATTGGGATAGACATTAATATGTCAGTTTCATAAGCTGCCTTTCGTTTATCTTTTTTTTACTTTTTTATGAACTTGTTTTGAATTTCCAATATTTCATTTTTTATTTTTGGGCATTTCCCCTAAAAAATAATATTGACAGGTTTGTTTTGCTCATGCTGGACACCTATGCTTGCTGCATGATTGCAACCCAGTCACCTCACTGGCCACAAGCATGACAGTTGCGTCTACTGAGACTGTCGGCAAGATCACCTCCCTCTCACTCTGGACTATGCTACCACCACTGGATTAAGCACGTTTACACCAGGATCCCCTCTCTTCACTCTGGCGAATGTTACAGTGACAGTCAGGGCCAGGTTTCCCACAAGGCCGATCGAGGCCTGGCCTCAGGGCAGCAGGAAGTAGAGGGGCAGCAGGGGTGTGGAATTCCTATCTCCCACGCCCGGGACATGCAGTTCTGGGCGCCAGGCGAGGAGTTGTTTTCTACATTTAGGCCTGCTTTGTGCAAGCAGGGCTCAATGTACAACGGGGAAGCCGGCGCTTGTTTTGTACAAGTGATCTCAGTGATGTTGCCGTGTTCACTTGTATGCAGCCTGCATACAGGGGGGCGCATCGAGGAACCTGGCCTTGGGGCAGCAGAGAGAGTAAATCCGGCCCTGGTGACAGTGCTGTAAGATAACAAGGATAATATACAGCCAAGGACATTTTTTTGGTCACAGGTTCCTTCTGCTGTTATATGTTTTAGTTACCATAATCATTTCTGCAACACAGTCTTACAATTCTTACATCTCCTAAATATTGTGTAATGAATATTGTTTACTAACATTAACCCATCCAAATGGTGAGCACAGCAAACTAAACTTTTAACTGGATTACTAAAGGACAATGAATTGCTTAACGGGAACTATGTGTCCCCTTCAGGCTATGCAGTATCCAAAATGTGTGTAAATCACAAGACTGCCTATACAGAATTACACATCTGTTGGCATGTAAAATAACCATATGTATTTTATTTGTATTTACCTTTTGACTGGAGATTCTCTATAACAGGTATCATAGCACTCTGGGAGTAACATATTCTGATCAGTCTTTTCTTAATTGGTTTGTTTTTCTTTGTCTCTGTATGCTTTCCATTGTTTTTATATAAAGGCTTGTGTAACCAGTACTGTTAACAGGTCACAGTGTTCCTGTATTGCAGTGAGAAATGTGTCAAAAATCTGTAACCATGTAGTTCACTCTCCCCATTTCTAGATACTTTGTAATTCCCTACTCTTTCTTTGAAACATAAAGACTTTCCTGAACAACTGTTTTTTCCTGAGGAACAACAAATTGTAGCTCATTTACCAAAAATAACCCTTCACATCTAGGCATTTTCCTTGTACCTAAAAAGTACAAAAACCATGTTGAGTTTTTAATATTCCTCTTTCTTCAAACCTTCAACACTTGAAAATTAAAACTCTACTCTGCATTCTTTGCATAAGCATCAATAGTGCTTTTACTCAAATGTGACAAGAATCTTCTCCTATATGGGCTAGTTCACACCAAGTGCAGAGCAGATGCAGAGGAGTTACAGAACGCATCAAAACTGCATCCAATGTATTCCAATGGTATTTTGGGCTCTAGTTCACACCAGAGCGTTCAGTTCCAGAGCATGTGGAAAAACTGCAGCATGCCCTATTTTTTCTGCTCCAGAATGCACCAAAACGCATGCAAGCACATGAAAAACACATGCAAACGCCCTGGAACGCAGTGAAAGCCCATTTTAGGCCAAGAAAACGGCCCGGAACGCGACAAAACACACTACAGAGAAACTCATGCAGATCTGGTCTACATTTGGTGTGAACAAGAGTCTTCTGCAGACCTATCTATGTCTTCAGCACCAATGCCAAAACATGCCAAAACCTTAAAGGGGAATTCCTATCTAAAAGAAAACTAAACAGCATTAATAAGAGTTGCTTTGCGATTCTGTCATTCTAATGAAACATTTCCATGTAACCTGCACGTTTCTGAACATTTCAGAATGCTGACGGAAGAATCTTATGTTCTGTATAATGTTTTATTTCACAGTGCTGGGAATCGTATGTTGGACAAGATATTTATCGGCTGGTGGTGATCGATTTCCTATTTGTATTGTTTGGGTCTTTTTTTGGAGAATTTTTAAGGAGGTGAGATATTTATTTCTTTAAAGTATTGAGCTTGGGAACTAATGGCACATTCCAAAACCTAGAATGAACAAATGAAATAGGTTACACGAACCTCAAGGCCCCTTTCACATGGTGAGCAGGGGATCTGTCCATTCGGTTTTTTCCTCCACCTTGTGATGAAGGAGAAAACTGAGCTGTATGGACCCATGTTAGGTCTATGGGCAGTCGGATGTAAGCGGACATGCGTCTATTTGCATCCGATTACTTCTGATCTATCCCATTCAGGTCAGCCAAAATTCCTTTTCCTTTTTTCAGACCTAGAAGGACTCTGAGGTAATCAGATGTAAAGGGTCCACGTATAGAGTTACATTGATCTTCCAATTAAGTCTGCCCGAAAAACTGACAGACGGAAAGGGGCCTATTGGAGGACACTCAGTTTTCTTTGGTTCACAATACTTCCAATGCCTTCCAGCATGGTTAGCTGCTGGAACACACTGGATCGCATACTGTCCAGCTCCCTGCGATTTGGGGCGCGTGATCGCCTGCTCCAGAACGCGTGGCACAGCAATGCTTGCGTTCCGGTCCAGAGCGCAGTGCAATCGCCTGCATCAGAATGCACGGTACAGCGATGCCCGTGTTTCAGTCAAGTGAAAATTGTATAAAATTGTACAAGCTTTTAGTAGAATAAATGTTAGATGAGTGTATAGGAGAAGAAATGGTAGATGAGATAACAAACACTGTCAAGCTAGAATATTGCTTGGATGAATGTAAGATAAAGTTGAAGATTAATATACGGAGAGATACATAGTAATGTTATTTGGGAGACAACAGTTATGATGCTTAGTTGTATTTTGTACCGTACTTTATTTTTAATATAAAGTTTGTACAAGTATGTTTATTTGAAATAAAAGTATATTGAACCACAGAATAGACAAGGAAATAAAGGAATCAGGTTATATGGTGGAAAAAAAAATAGTACAAGCACTATTTTTTCAACTGCACTGGACCGGAATGCGGGTATAGCTGTGCTACGCGTTCTGGTGCGGGTGATCGCACAGCAGGCAGGGGGGCGTGGGGGCATGCCTGTGGTGCCATTGACTTGAATGGATCGCCCCGCCCCAGAACACAGTATGCAATCCAGTGCGTTCCAGCACTGGAGATGGTGTGAACGTAGCCTTACTCAGATGTTAACTTTACTCCGCATCCATGAATTCTGGGTAATAGGCATGGGGTTGCCTGGCAATACAGCAGTACATGCTTCAGTACAAATCCCTCCTGCCTTGCAAGCCCACAGTTGTAAACAGCTGTAATATCCTTACAATGTAGATTATTGCCTAACTCTAAGCTGGTAGCCAACATAAGATCTACCAGCATAAGCTAGATATATGCTCAATACATTAATGTAAAGCTTTGGTGATTCCCCTGGAAATGTTTCAGACATAGACTGAAAAATAAAATAAAGCAGTCAGCTGAATGGTAAGTTGGAACACTAAATTTATATACTTAGTCAAGTATTTAACACTGACCCCTACTACTGAGCTGATTTCTAAATGTTGCAGTATCATTGAAACTGTAACTTATTGCAACCAATCAGAGTTTAGTATTAAAAAGAAACAGTTGGGTTGCTATAGCCTGTAGTGCCATGTTTGCAGCAGTATCCTTAAGCTGTTCATACAACAAGCACTTGACTTCCCCAGCCGTGCTAAACAACAGTGTGGATGAAGGACTTTCCCCACAGAGGAATGGCCACTTTCAGGATACCATGAATTTTTGGAGTGTTTTTTTCTACAAAAGTCGATTGGAAAATAAACTTTTGTCAAACAGGTGGGTCCCAAGGGGGCAGAAAGACTCAGCCCAAATTTGAGCAGTGTATGGCCAGATTAAAGGGCCGTTATGCATAAGCATCAGACCAAAAAACAAGTAAAATGCAATATGTTTGCAGGTATCCCTGGGACAATTGTCTTGCATTTGAGATGTGTTTGAGATGTATCATGCATTCACCCTGAATTGCTGTTAACATTTATGGAGGAATAACAGAAGTTGAACACAGTAGTATATACAGTGGCGTAACCAGAGTTCTGGGCGCCCGGGGCAGAAATTTTTTGTCGCCCCCCCCATTATATAAACAACCACTGGAACTGTACCCTGCACCTCCCCCCCACACACACATGTTTTTATTTTAATTTTTCAAATTTTAATATTTTATTTTTTTTGAAACTTTTTCATTTTTTTAAATTAATTTTTATTTATTAATTAATTTTTTATTAAATATTTTTATTTTTTACTTTACTTTTAGGGGCTTCGGGGAAATATTGGGGGTCTAAACAGACCCCTGATATTTCCCTTTAAAAATAGAAAAAGAGATTGAGGACACAGAGTCCTCAATCTCTTTTTCTGTGTCCCCTGTTATCAATGAACAGGAATCCTTTATGAGTGTTCCTGTTCATTGATAACATGGTATGTTTACTATAACTACAATTATGAATAAACAGGAGGGGATATAGATCACTCCCGTTCATTCATAATTGAGGATATAGTTTACATACCAGGTCCTCAATTATGTACAAACACTCAGCGATCACTGATCACTGAGTGCTTGTACCCGTTCTCCTCTGACACACACTGTCACAGGAGGCTGCAAGAGGAGAGCCCAGCCTCCTGTGACAGCGCTGGCTGTCTCCACCCCACACCGCTCTGCTGCACTGTGATAGGCGGCCGAGCGGTGTGGGAGGAAAGACACCGGCCGCTCACAGCGCTCGTCCCGCAGCGCTCGGCCGGCTGTCATTTTCTCTCTGATTCCTTTCATCCCTGCTGGGCACTGCTCTGTGTCCCAGCGGGGATGAAAGGAATCACGGCCGCGCCGACAAAACGGCAGGAAAATGTCACTTTGGGCATTTAGCCGAAAGTGCCATTTTCGGCCGGCGCCCCCCCTTCACTTTTCGCCCGGGGCCCGCGCCCCTGCTGCACCCCCGGTTGTTACACCACTGAGTATATACAGTGCATAAACAGAACTCTACAATATTGAATTCTAATACTGCATCCCATATGCTTCAAAATTGCTTTACAGATACATGTCAGAAGCAAAATGCAATCATCCATGCATACTAGATGGATCAGTGTGGCATTTTCACATCTCTAGTATGGAGCAAATGTCTATTAGGTGGAACTAAACATTTCACAGGTTGTAATAAAAACTAAGATCATTTAACTCATACTTTTTAATCTTTTTTTTGTAGGATTTTCGGGACGTATTGCTGTAAAAAGTTAGGAATGCCAGAGTTTGATATAGCAAGAAATGTGCTGGATTTAATCTATGCACAGACATTGGCATGGTATGTATGTGTGTGAGTTGTCTGAGTTCCACTGCAAAATACTGATTATCTAAATTAGGCTATACACGGTGTGAAATACACAAAATGGATGCCCCTATGAGAACTTTCCCGCCCAGTATCCCTCGATCAGCTGATGGAAGGAGCAAGTTGGAAAATTCTTGGGCGGACGGAGCTTGCAGCCAATCAGCTGCAAACTATGTTCGGGTATTTTGACAGCGATCGGCGATCACTGTCAGAATACAATGCAAAAAAGCAGGGGATTCCTCTATCCACGCTTGTAAAGCTAGTCATACACCTTTAGATTATCTGCAGATTTTCTATGGTCAGATGGAAAAAGTGCAACAGATTCCTCCATCTACGCTAAACTGTGTGGCTGGAGGAATCTCCCACTGGGCCAAGCTTCAGTATCTTGCTAGTAGCCCCGCTGGCTGTCAAAATACATGAACAATCTGATTGGATGCAGGCACTATTCAGGTGTTTTGACAGCCAGTGGGGTGGGGCTGTCAAAGCAAGATACTGAAGATACTAGCAAGATACTGAAGCTTGGCCCAGTGGGAGATTCCTCCAGCCACACAGTTTAGCGTAGATGGAGGAATCTGTTGCACTTTTGCCATCTGACCATAGAAAATCTGCAGATAATCTATAGGTGGATGGTCAGCTTAAGAATCTGTTATATTTTCATTGTTCAGCCCGCAGGTTATACCGAGCTTTAAGCAATGTATAGATGGGCTTGATGTCTAACCAGAAGGACGGGTGGAGAAACATCTGCCTGTTGTTATCAGCTGAACTCGCTGGGGTAAATCATGTACCATAGGCTACATACTGCATATGTAGACTGAAGGAGCACATCCATAGTATCATAATTCCTATTTTTTTTTAGAAGAGGGATAATCAAGAAAGTAACACAGAGATTTCCCAACAATTTGGAAAAGTTTTTGGAGAAAAACAAACACTTTCAACATCAAAGTGTTTTCAATCCCCCCCCCCCAAGGGGAGCTTCCTACTGGTCTGATCTTCACTTGAATGTCATATTGGGCTGTTGTATCAGACAGGGACTGTTATGCTCAGGGTCATGAGATTGACCAATAAATATTAGAAACCAATATCAGCCCAAATGCCAACATTTCTGAGCATCATTCAAAACAGCATGCCAGTTCCTGTAACCAAATTAAATATTACAACAAGAGAAAGAGTATATGGGACAATTCAGGTGTTTTAAAAGCCATTTTAAATGTCATTGTATACGTAATTTGCTCTATCTATGATATCCACAGGGCATTAAAACATTAAAAAAAGTCTAAATACACACAAACAATATGCGGGAAAAACTCAGAGCACAGTATCATAGTGAAGTAGCTTCTATAATTGAAAATAAATTCAAACTATCAGACAACCTCAAAAGGAAACTGCTACAGTACTTGCAGAGTCACTGTTCTAGAACGTTTTTGAGAATGTTCGCCAGGACTTCCAAAATACCTGCCAGTACCTCCGATGGTGCTCACAAGTTCATTGCAAGTACTTCTAAGGGCACTGACAGAATCCTGGCTTATATTTCCAATAGTAGTTTCCAAAACAGAACTCCCTAAAACGATTTTGAGTTTAAGCTAGGGCTGCAACTAGTCGCCGGGCACACTGGTAGCACACGGCCCACGTCTGCTCCTCACTGATGAGAGGCTCCTAGGTTTTCATTAAAAAAAGGTCGCCGCATCCCCCTGTAAAAATCGCCCTGTTGCTTCCTCCCCTGGAACCCGCCACTGACATGAGCTTCAATCCTAGCTATGGGGTACAAGGCTCATCTAAACTCCCATCCCAGCTATGGGGTATAGAACTCACCTGACCTCCATTCCCAGCTATGGGGTACAGAGTTCACCTGACCTCCAATCCCAGCTATGTGGTACAAACCTCACCTGACCACCCATCTCAGCTATAGGATACATAGCTCTCTTGACTTTGCATCTTGGCTACGGGGTACAAAACTCATCTGACCTCTCCCCCTGCGATCCTCCTGCCACTGCCACAGCTGCTAGCCTTGGGTTGCTCTCTACTTGCCACTGGTCCTTGCTTCGATTATATCTGTCAAAATCCATGTATATGTCAAATCAGTGCTAAATGCAAAGCTATAGTGTTAACAAAAGAAAGCATTTGAAATTCCTCAGGCAATGAAAAGGTTAACAAATACAATTATAATGTATGATTTTATTAAATGTGATCACAAATCTACATTAAAGGCAATTTACATAATGTATATTTAATTACAGAATATGACATCTTGGTAACGGTGACATTTTATAAATAAATACGATGCTTGCACAGTAGGGGGCAGAATACAATCTCTAGTGAATATTTTTTTTTTTTTACTTTGCAGGATTGGTATTTTCTTCTCCCCTTTGCTACCACTAATCCAGATGATCAAACTTTTCATCATATTTTATGTGAAAAAAGTAAGTGTCATTTCAATAACAAGTAATAGTTGCAGCAGCAATTAAATAGTAAGTCATGCTTTTAAAAAAACATTTAAATAAGTTTTTTATAATTTAAATAATAGTTTAATAAGAAATAGTATTATTTTCATGAAATAAATACATATGTATTTATACATACACTTACAGAATACATATATAAATATTTGTATAAGTAAATTTGTAAACGGCAGCTCATATAGTTACATAGTTGCATAATAGGTGAGGTTCAATAAAGACACACATCCATTAGGTTCAACCTACAGTATATAGTGTGTGTGTGTGTGTGTGTGTGTATGTGTATACTGCTAGGAATTTCAATAACCTTGTATTATGTGCAGTCTCCATAATTAAAAGAAAAAAAACATTGCTTCTTTCCGTATTGGGAGATTATCTCTAAGCTGTCCAGATTTGGTGTAGAAGCCTCCAAGAGAGGATTAGGTAAGGTGTTACTTTAGGTAAGAAATTAGGTTTGGTGTTAGCTCAGGTTAAGGCCAGGGCTTAGGGTTTTATGTAACTGTTAGGATTAGGTTTTAGGGGTGCTGGGGTAGACATTAAAGGCCTACTTTAAGAAGCCAGGCTAAGTGTTAGGGTGATAGTTTGGTGCCAAGGTCAGGTTAAGTGTTAAGCATCAAAAGCTACTAGTGCCTGGTTCTTAGCTCTGAAAATGAATGTACCATTTAAAATAAATCAAGGTAGAGAAGACCTCGCTGTAACGGCTTCAGCAGGTGGACTGACCTGAAAAACTCAAGTGCTGTGATCTTGCCAAAGGAGCCACTGAGAGATACGGTATTAGGAGTAACTCATCATCATCTTCCCAAAACCGTAATATGGTGTTATCAACATTCTGTCTATATAGGTGAGCCTCATCATGAATTGTACTCCTCCTCGAAGAGCCTGGAGAGCCTCCCAGATGACCACTGTCTTCATTTTTCTCCTCTTTTTCCCATCTTTTGCTGGAGTCCTCAGCGTCATTGGCGTCACTGTATGGAGGTATACAAAAACTACAGACTAAAATCATATAACCTGTGTGCAAAAGTATCTTGGAAATAAATGGTCATCTTCAAATGTTTAACTTTGTATTGTAAGAAAGTGCAGGGAAATAAATTTGGTTAACAAAAATCATTACCTGCTTTTTCTCCATATGTTTGTACAGGCTATTGAAGTATCCATATTGCTCAAAAATAGGAACAGTATTCACGTTTTGCTTGATGTCAAGAGGAGCTGTAAAAACAGCAAAAAATTGCCAGGCAACCTGTATTGGTGGCTGCAGCCCTGACTTGGCGAGGATTAATCATCCTGTGTCTTGCTGGCTGCAGCACTAGTCTAGTCAGCTGCAATCTAACCACACACCTCCTGCTCTGGGATTGGCCTCGTTGCCGGTAGCGCCATATTTAAGCATCATCAGCCTGTTCCCCAGAGCTTGTGATAGTTCTTGCTATACAAACCATGCTCTGTCTCTGTAAATCCTGTGTCTGCAAATCTTGTTTATCTTTGGTTCTGACCTTGGCCTATCCCTGGATTACGCTTTGCTTTCTGCCAGCACTGACCTCAGCTAGTGCCCGGATTACCCTTTGCCACCTGCCCGCCCTGACCTGAGCCTGTGCCCAGATAACTCGTTGCAGCCGCCAGCCTTTGACCTCAGCTCGTTCCTAATTACTCTGGTAGTGTCTTTCTACTTTGGTCCGTACCTCGGGTCAGCACCTCTGGCCAGCCTGTGACATCACCTGATCAGAACATATAGTTTAAGTGCTGGGGGCATCCAAGTACCGGTAGGCACGCTTGCCTTATGGGAACGGCAGCTGCTATAGGTGAAACAACTCGTCACTATTTGCTCTGATAGCGTGCGTCCACAACTGGTCTTGACATTATCACAAGCCTTTAAAAAGAAGAGACCGATACTACTATTGGTCGATGATGGATGCCGCGCAAGTCCGTATGTTTGCAGAAGATTTATGCAAGCTGATGCATCAAGTTCAGGATCTGTCCTTGCACATCTCTCAGCAATCCAGGGTTTCTGATCTGCAGGAACCTGAACCGAAGGTCCATCTACTCGATCGTTTTTCTGGAGACCATCACTCATTTTCCAATTTTGTCAATAGTTTTAAAATATATTTTCAGCTTAGGCCACTTTCTTCTGGCTCAGATACCCAGCATGTTTGCATTATTATTTCTTTGTTACAGGGGGATCCCCAGTTGGGCTTTTAGCTTGTCTGCTGATGACCCAGCTCTGTCCACTAATGATGCTATTACGGCGGCTATAGGTGAAACAACTCGTCACTATTTGCTCGGACAGCATGCGTTCACAACTGGTCCTGACATTATCACAAGCATTAAAAAGAAGAGGCCGGTCCTGACAAAAAAATTTCTTCTGTAGAATTGCATTTCAAAGACAGCAGCACCTAGACTTTTGCTGTTGCAGAAACCACAATGAGGACATTTCACTTTAAATTTAAGGATACTTTAACAAATGTTTTATAAATATATAGACCATATTGTTAGTTACATTTAAGTGTATGTAAACCCAGGATCTGTTTTTAAGTATGTATAGTATCATGCTAGCTTTCTTAAGTAAAACTATTCTTTGTGAATCTGTTGCAAACATTCTTACCTGGAGATCCTGATGTAACAGCACTTCCTGTTCTAGCCTGTCAGAGCTAAGCCACTGCCTTGAAATAACAGCAACATTATCCGCCTACCATGTGCACTACTTTATTTGGCCATTGGGCTGCCTATCATGTCTGTCAGATAGGCAAAAAGAAGAATATATTGTCAATTAAACAAAAAGATACAAGTTTTTGAAATAGTATAGCTAGGAGATTTACCCCACTCCAAGGATTAAACTGGAGCTCTCTGTTTAACCATTTGCTGTCTGGAGCAATTTCTTACTATTTGCACACACATGATATAATCTGAAGTTTTGGCTAGAAACAGCTTCAAACCCCCAAACAATTATATATTTTCTGATTGCCTTGTAGAATTTAAAAAAATCCTAGCTGCAATTTTTTTATGTTGCACGGAATATGAGCAAATGTTTATCAAACCAGTATGTTTTAGGATAAAATACACTAAAATGAAATTTATGGCACAGAAACAGAATATAATACCCATCTTTTTGGTAAAATATAATTTCAATCAAAAACAAATGTATAGGAAGATGGGACAGACCCAATTAACTACAACTTGCTTCGTATAAAAGGTTTTCTTTTTAATAAAACAAAAACACTAAAAAGGCCATAAATTAAAAGAAGGATACGCATATTCTAATAGCAAGATACCTCCACAAACCACTCAATGTTTTCATGAATAAAGCATTGAAATCACACAGAGAACAATGATTCAATAATTCATATAGATATTGGACATAGAAAATTGATGGATCTTTCATAACATTATTGACGATAGCCAAATGTGTAGCCTTGCCGCTGGCAAAGGATGTTGGGCATGCATGCTGTAATTTGTGCTAATTTCAAGCGCCATTTTCATGTCTCCTTGTAAATATAATGTTGTTTCTGGTAGAATTTCCAGTAAAGAATCTTTGCAACAGGTTTACAAAAAACAGTTTTAAGAAAAATGTATATAGAGAAGCATTAAACCAACATACTAAGAATTGATTTAGGGTTATATTATACATCTACTGTAAGCATTTAAGGCAATCAACAACAGAAAGCACTCATTTTTTAATGTTACAAATGCTTCTTCTTTTGCTGTTATGAAAAGATGAATCTCCTTATTTCAGACGGGTTCCTTCCAAGACGTGTGGCCCCTTTCGGAATCTGTTAAGTCCTTATGAATCCATTGATATTTGGATACATCAGATAGACTTCTTTGAAAACTCCAAATGGGTGGTATGGATTTATCGCAACTTAGTTGAAAGTGTTCTCTTCTTCTACATCCTCACCATGATTGTTCTGTAAGTATACAATTCTGGTTTAGACATATCACTGTGCTTTTTTTAATAGTTAACACTTAAAGTTTAACTCCAAAAACAAGCATTTGATGTATTGCTGCTTACCTGTCCTCAAATATGGTTGCTGCAATCATTTTATTTTTTTATAGGATTGTTTTCTTTTATGTTCACCTTGTAATAGTGATAATAGCACAGCAGAGAAATGAAGTCCACCCAAACCCAAAATAACGCTATGACAGAATGTTAATATATCTTGCTAGATGAGGGACAGTACCACGTTCTCTAGAAGGTGAAATGATTGATTGCAACTCAATAAAGCAAGGGAGCAAATGCAGATATCTCCAAATTACTACACAAATGAATTAAAAATGCTGAGTAGTCCAGACCTCTAGGTTAGTGCAATAGATTCTGGAAGCACTAACACTCAATGATCCAGGTTACAGCATGTACACATAGATTAAAAGAGGTCAGCGCCATCTTCTTTTCAAATTAAAAACAAGTATTTGATAAAAATACTTTAACATTTCATAACAGGGGTCATGATACTTGGCATACAAGAGGGGTGATGGTTCAGAACATCTTCCCTTTTTCAAGTAGTATAGTGTACTATTGCTGGGATTTGTAGTCCTCTGTAGCTGGCGTTATTCTGCATGGCACTGTATAATTTATTATTGCTGGGATTTGTAGTCCTCTGTAGCTGGCGTTATTCTGCATGGCACTGTATAATTTATTATTGCTGGGATTTGTAGTCCTCTATAGCTGGTGGTATTCTCCATTGCGCTGAATAATGATTATACGGCGCAATGCAGAATACCACTGACCAGTTATAGAGGAACTACAAATCCCAGCAATAACACATTATACAGCTCAATGGAAAATACCCCCAGCTATAGAGGAACAACAAATCCCAGCAATAATACATTATACAATCTGCTTAATGTATTATTGCTGGGATTTGGTGTTCCTCTGCTGGTGTTCTGCAGTGTGCCGCTGTATTATACATTGGTATTCTGCATTGTATAATACAGCAGCGCGGCGTACGCGGCGTGTGCGGCGTACCCGGCGTGCGTAGCGTAGCTAGTGTATGGAGCCGCGAACAGGCGGGCGTGAGCGGCGAGCGGGAAATTTTAATTTTAGCCGACGAATCGACGATGGAAAACGTTGACAACGTTTTCCATCGTCGATTTTAATTGACTTAATCGAATAATTGTTGCAGCTCTAAAATGGCTTAAGGAAAAAAAACTATATGCATTCTCAGTTCACATTAATGTGAATATTAACTATGAATTTTCATACTTTCTACAACTATTGTGTAAGCACAATTACTCTTTATTGCGTTAAACGTTAAAGCACGAAGAGACGGAACTGTCTCCATTTATTCTTTTTAACATGACCTGAGATCTTGTCATATTGGCAGTTTTCACCCACATTGGTGTCTCTCTGCCATAAAAATTGAGAAGGCTACGGTAAGTTAGGATTCCAGTGCTGATTCATTGGGAGATTTTCAGTAGGTCCCTATACTTAGAATAAATGGAAATACCTTTTAATAGTATAACTGTGTGTTTAAAGATGTATGCTTGTTACGTGTTTTGCCAACTTTAGTTACACAATAATTTCTCTTTACTTACAGGATTATCTCCTATCTCAACTGGCAAATTGTACTAGGCAGAAAGATTATGGTGAAACATCTCTATAAACAAATAGCCAATGTAAGTATGTGCTGACAGCTTTGTTTATTTTTATTAACCTATAAAGTGATAACACACGCCTTAGCACTGTACAAAGTACAGTGAGCCATTAACACATCCATAGAAGGTTCAGCTTTGCATGGACAACAGTTCTCTGTCTTCCACAATGATGTGCTTGGTTCCTCAGCAGCCAGTTGCTGGTACTGTCACATGGTGGACAGTGCTGTGTCTAGTAGTGTCCAAGAAATAACCTTCAGGTAAAGGTGACTTTTGTACATGATCGTTGCAGAACAGCGCAGTAAGGCAGCAGTGGTACGAGAAGGAAAGGCATTGTGGGTGGAGGCTAGTACTCATTGGGGAGGATTTGTTTCTTTTTTTGAAAGAATACCCAGAAACAGCGGTGGCTGGCATTTGTGCTGTTGAGTATAAGGAAACCTATCAAAATGAAGAGCAAGGGAAAATTTTATTTTGGTTCCAGCTTTTTGTTAAAAAGGAATAATCACTATTCTCATTGCTCATCCCAGCAGGAAATGGGGAGGCTTTGATCATGAACATCTAGAATACATGAAAAGAAAATTGGTCATCCAGTCTCCTTTTTTGAGACCATTTCCTGTTCCTGAAAATCTGACCTGGCAGAATAGTTGATGACCCCAGCAGACCATACATTGCTTGAATTGGGGAGGCTCCCCTTTACTACCATCAGTAGGGATCGACCAAAAACATCAGGTCCACTGCCTTCTTTTTGCATTCAGCTGCCAGTGCAACATTCCACAGCTGGATGTAAACAGAATATCGATACCTGATATCGGTCATCAGCCTGAAAGGTGGCCCATAATCAGTATGTGTTCTGGAAAAACCATATCGATCGACCTCTAACCCACACTACCTGATAATAAGGACTAACTAAATACTACCTCAAGATATGTCAAATAATGTACATACCTATGGAATTAATCGGATATATAAATTGCATCATGATGACATAGGGATGCATCCAATCCATTATAAAGTTTTCAGCCTGTACACACTTCATGCAATATATAGACATTCCACAGTGAATGTAGAATCCCCCGTATCAGTTGATCCAAAACTCCCTTGTTTAGCCCATATATCTTAGGCCGTGTAGATGAAAAAAGCACAGCATATAGCTGGTGATGTAACAAGCAAAGGCCATGCAGGGTAGTGGTAGCAAGTTGGCATAGAATTAAAAGCAATGTAGCAAGAAAAAAGTCCCGACATCATCCTACTCTCATTAATATTCCACAGACACTGATCATTAGTCACCCGAAACCTCATCCCTTGTGTTCATGTGCCGAATATCCATTTCAAGTTATGTCAATTTCCTGAGTATATTACCCATTATTGAGCCCTACACTGTTCCAGGGCTCTTTCGCTGGTTCCTGGTCACATCAGGAGATAGGGCAAGCTGGGAAAGGGACTGCCGTGCACCAGCAGTATTAGTCCATCATTAAGCCAAGCCTCAAAAGCAAATGGGGGTGGCACGTCATGTGATGTTGACACGTTTCATCTAATCCTGGACTCCGGCAAGACTTGATATCGAGAAGGAAGGATGTGTCCTTATAGCTGGAGTTCAGAATGTAGTAGATCCTATTGCACTCCTGACCGGATCAAGCCAACGGGTACTCCTAGAATGAGATCCTAATAGGTTGGACTTGATGGACTAATGTCTTTATTCAACCTCAAATACTATACTATGTAAGAAAAACTGGGGGGTGCTGGAAGCGACCACGCATGCCTCCGCACATCAAATGCAAAGTACCATAAAGTCACTTGCACACCGTTTGTAGATAACAGTCAATCTCCTTTATTGACTGAACATGATGTCACATAAAGCAACGTTTCGGGACCAGGCAGTCCTTTCTTCAGGCAAACAAGCCAAACAAGCCTGAAGAAGAGACTGGTCCCCAAACATCGCTTTGTCATGTTCAGTCAATAAAGGACATTGACTGTTATCTACAAACGGAGTGCGAGTGGCTTGTAGCTGGAGTTCATCACATGGGAACCACCTGCATTATGGACTTAAAATGGAACACTGCACTCCAAATGAAACGTGTGTAACTGTTCCAATATATTGAAATTAAAACAGAGTCAATTTGGCCCTCACAGAGTGGTTTAGTTTCATCACATTATTACAAAATGGATATAAAAAACACATTTTTGGAACAAAAGGAATCTAAACAATGGCAGTATATAAAAATGATGGTTGCTACATGAGTTGAATTACATTCTATTTCATTCTTGGTATCTCTATATAATTTACCTTTGCAGGAAGGACAAGATAAGTACTTTTTAATTCATGAACTTCGAAAAACTCAGAAGCCAAATGTAGCAGATTATGGAGCACCACAAAAAATGCCAGTGAGACAGGTTAGTATCTGAGCAAAACTGAAATTACTGAAAGTACTAAACATGCATTTTCTGTTGTATTTGTATTGTGTTCTGTAAGATGCTGGCTGAGCAGAACTTAGGAAATGTACTACGTTCAATAAAGACAAAGCAAAAAATAAATAAATCAATAAATAAATGCACACACATATTAATGAAGGAAAAAATTAGCATTTATTGATTTTTGTGTTCGAGCCTTTGTAGCATTGCAACAGTGATCAGTGGCTCTGGCTTCTGCAGCCTCTTCCCCCCTGTCTCTTTTCCTATGGAGGTGTGGGCTATCAATTACTGGAGTAGGAGGAAGTATGACGCAAACTGGCACTGACATTGTACGGCAGCAAGCCTAAGGCTGGCCATACACTGATCTATTTTTTTCTCATTCAACTCGCGGGCTGAACAGAAAAAATAGACCCGATTCCTCCATAAACACTAACAGCATGTCGATAGAGGAATCCCTGCTGTTTACATGCAACGGCTGCTGGCACCTGTCGGAATACTCGACCAGTGCGGGCAGCTCATTGGATGCCGGCTCTGATTGATCGAAGATTTTCCGATCAGCTCCTTCGACCAGCTGATCGAGGGATGTCGATTGAAAGGGTGCCGACAGCAGCACACACTGTGCGAATTCTGGCCGCTTCCTCAAAATCCAGCAGATACTCGAACAGTGTATGGGCACCTTTAAGCTGCTGCTTCTATCCTAACAGCATTGCTCATGTCCCTGTTTTACACCAACAACAAAAAAGAAGGAATTTGTGCATACGCCACCAGCCTTTTACAAAGCAGTGTAAGTTACCTCAAGCCTGAAATTTGCCACAGTGGGTAACCATACTTAGTCTTATGCAAACAAGACTCTTCAAAAAGTTGTTTCTGTATTTGCATAGGATTTGTAGGGACACAGGAAGAGCAGATGAGGAGCCCCGGCAGTATTTAGTGTGCCTGCCAAACATTGTCAGTTTTGCTTTTCCTTAAAACTTACTATTACTTAAACCCTAGCTCCAGCCCCCCCTCTCCCCACACTTGACGCAATTTTTGCATTTTACATGCCTTTTTTTCCATTTGTCAGGTCACATGATTAGCATGGATGGCCCCCTTCTCCAGTGGTGAAGGTTTTCAGTGCCCTTATGTTATGTGTTAGCACCAGTGGCGGACCTAATAACCAAAGGGCCCTGGTGCAAGATTTTATCTTGGGCCCCCCTCCCAAGACGGGGGAAGGGAGAATTTCTGGTCTGGTCGTTGGGATCCCTTTCCCTGTACCTCCTTCCAACTCTTCTTAACTAATGCTGCTTGGGCCCAGCCTCCTCCACCCCCTCCCCTGTCACCTCTGCCATGCCGCCCCGGTACAGTTGATACCCATGTAAGAGGCCCCACAGAGCCCACACATGGGTACGGGCCATACCCCCCTGATGGCGGTGTTCTATCAAAGGTTGTGACTATGTTAGAACGTGTCACACATTTTAACGTAATCCCGCAATTTACAGTGTAATATTCCCCATTATAATCCACTTGTCTGATTACATGAAATAGCAGTACACAACTACTATCCAACAATGTAATTACTACAGCAATGCCCTCTGGAGGAGGGGGGAGTGGGGAGCAAAGGGATTTAAAAATACTAGAATTGGGCATTGCATTTAGTTGCAATGGCCTCAAGATTCCTGGGATAAGCCAAAACGTTTAGTCGGCAATTATACAGTATATCCTTGGGATTCATTAAAGAAAACCTTTGAGGACAAAAACAGAGGAGCTGCCATATTTTTAGGGTACAAGCGCTTGGCCTGTTATCCCGATTCTGGTTTCACTAGTGAGTCACTTGTGAGTACAGGGAGTTTAAAACAGTTGACAATAACTGCCTGTAATTTTAACATTGTGATATTTTCTAGATTCAACCCGTACATGAAGCCCAAGACATACAGCTTGCTGATGGTAAGTTACATAAAATGCTTTGCTGGAATTCTTGCTCAATAGCCTGGTGTATAGAGGGCTGTGTGTTCCATCCATGCTGCTCTTAAAGTGGACCCTTCCCCCGACACTAAAAATTCCTGATGCATACACTTCTGCATGCCAGTCCCAAAACATGTACAAGTAATCTGTGAAATCAATTCTGTTCTTGTTTCTCATTGCCAGGTTGCTTGATGCACTGGTGATGTAACCAGGGCCTCACAGCTGCACCCTGGAGTGTTTACATCACCAGTACACAGGGCCGGCACTGCCGTTTGGCAAACTGGGCAGCCGCCTAGGGCGCACTGCCGCTTGGGCCGCAGCCTTGACCACCTTCTATTGCACCTGGACACTGAGCAGACCTGAGAAAGTTATCTTTCAGATCCATTCCTCTGCTCAGTGGGTGGGTGCAATAGCCAAAGATTGGCTATTGCAATTTGAAATAACCAATAGCAGGCTGGCTATTGCAGCTAATAGAAAGAACTTTCTCTCTCAGGTCCACTCCTCTCCTCAGTGGGAGGGTTTCAACAGCCAGCTTGCTTTTGGCTTTTTCCAATTGAAATAGCCCGGGATGGCTACTACTCCACAGACAGTGGCGGAACTACCGCCGGTGCAGGCGGTGCGGGCGCCCGGGGCCTATAAGAAGATAAAGTGACAGCCGGCCAAGCGCTGCGGAAGGAGAGCGCTGTGTTTGTGGGTTTTTTTTGGGGGGGAGGGGGACCCAAAAAAAATCTTGCACCAGGGCCCTTTGTTCCTTACTACTAGCCACTGTCCACAGACTACTATACTACTCCACAACCTGCAGAGTTAAAGTAGAGGACTAGATCTTACTTGATCCACAGAGATTATGGACTGTTCGAAGAAGCCTCACACAGTCCCCCCTCTCTTATTTTCTCTATCTGATGTATGTAAAATTGCCCAGACATAGTGAAAATCATTTGTACCATAATATACTGTACATATACTATATAGATGTTTAATTATTACACAGGTGTCAGTGCTCCTCTCTGACACTTTGCTGACTGCTGAAGACCCCTAAAGCACTCTAGAAGTAAGAACTCAATATTCATTAATATTTTGCTGGGTGAACATTTACCAATCATTTACTTACCAGAGAGCAGTTGCATGCAATGTAATGGTCATCCAGAGAGCAGCGTGAAGCAAGTATCCAAGAATGCATTTATGTGTGTGTTGGGGGGGATAGGGAATAGCATCTAGTCACTTGGTTTTCATCTCTAAACACTTTTTTTGAGTTGTAGCTTTTTTTTTATCAAGCTCATTTGTGCATGGGGTTCTTAATAAGTTCTGAAACATGTCATGTCACAATTCTGCACTTTTCTTCCCCACAGAACCCAAACCACAGTTTCCTCAAAGTAATCGTTCCTCCAGTGCCTTGGCATTAGCTATGAGGGCAAGGCAACAAGCAGACCTTGAAGAGGACTCCCCACCAATGAACAGAAAAGCACCCCGTAATTCAAGTATAATGGCTCAAATTGAGATGGCAGGGCAAGAAGCTGAAGGTGACATGGACCAACCAGGCTACAACACAGGACCATCAAATGCTATGGAGATGGTCATGAGAGCCAGGCAGCAGGCCGAATACGAGGAACAGCAACCAAACTATGGGGCAGACGCTATGGCAATGAGAGCCAGGCCTATGGAGAATAAGAGGATGCAACAAAGGTGGAGCTAAGCAGCACCAGACACCAAGGCAAAGACTGTGGCAGCAAAACTATTGGGAATGGATAGATGACAATTCGAGGCATTCACTCGGAAGATAAAGACCCAAAAGAAGGCTAGCTATACACATGCACGCGGGCTGAAAAAGATAAATCCGTTTTCCATCCAGCTCATTCAATTTTTTCAGCCAAAGTTTGTTAAGCGTGGCGACTGGTGACAGAGCCAACCATGGGTCGAATTTCAGCTGATTCAGCAGGAATCAGCTTAGATTCGAGCTGTGTATGGCTACCTTTAGTCTCACACTTTGGTGACATCACAAAATGTATGCTACATGTATTTTGAAGATATGTGTTATAATAGCACATTTGGCCCGGTTCATAAATGTCCTTCACTCAGTTCCTTTGTTATTGGTTATAATGGCCCAGATCTCATAATGCACTTTGCCTTAAAACGCACGTGTGATTAAGGAATGCCAATCATTTCACAACTGCCTTGAACAAAATGTTCAAGGAGAACAAGATATTCTTCTAGCCCGATGACACTTAATTGATATATTTGCACGGAAAGTTAACTTGTTTACATGTTTTTGGGGAACAATTTCATGATGTGCAGATAATTTAAACTGTAATCGGTTTTGATTGCTTTATTTATTAAAATATGCTAATAATATATGTTCACTGCTTGTTTGAATCTGTTATTCTTTTTTTCTCAATACCGTTTTATTGACTTTACAGCCTGTAACAATCATATTACAATCAGTTTTTATACATTTTTCTGGAATCTGGGAAAGTTCAGGTTTTTTTTAGGCAGAGTAATGTGGGGAAACCACAGAATTCTCTCAGAGCAACAAAAGAAATAAACACACTCCTTCAAACAGTGTGCCACACTCAGCTGCTCCATAATCCATGGCATAGGCATGCACAGCCTATTGCATTAGGGTGTAAACGCAAAAGCACAAACACACACAATATATACAGTATATTGCATACATACACACACACAGAGGCATCACAGATTCCTATCTCTTTACTGTGCCTTACCTCTTCTAGCAGGGGTGCGGTAATGAAGCAGGGAGCATGGCAGGTGGTCATGTGACCACCCGCCCGGCTTTCCTGATTGCAAAGCCTGGGAAGCCACAGCCAGGTTCCGAGGACTGCGGCTGTTATGTGAGGAATGTAAGTGGCAAGTGCTGCTGCTCTCTGCATCACTGAGCCAGTCACAGAGAGATCTTTGTGATCCCGCCACCAGATGAGTGAACTAGAAGCATGGCACCCACTGTTTCTGCAGGGATTTGAGCCTCCACAGACGAAGGTGCATTGTTCCCCCATACACAATGATCCACCTACAAACATCGCCCTCCCATATACACACACATACACATTCCCCCCCCGCCATATAGATATTGAAACCCCCCACATAGACATTTCCCCCCATACACACACATTGACCCCCCTCCCACTTATACAGACACTGCCCCTCTCAATACACATATACAAAGACATTGCCCCCATACACAGACATTTTCCCCACCTACACAGACATTGCCCCCCCCCCCCCAGCCCGTTGCAGACAGGGTTCAAGGCACTTACATCCTCTGCTTTGCTGCAGCTGTTTACACTGATGGAGGATCCGTCCGTGTCAATTCCCGGAGCCAATCTGCCAGCTGCCTCTTGTCCAGAGTCTTCCCGTCTAGCTCTGGCAGACCTGTATCCCGGCTGTGCATGGCCGGCTGTGTCACCATGTAGTGTGTGGATCACTGTGTGCCTCTGCAGCTTTATGCTAGCGCCGGCCCTGAGTTTTGGTGTTGCGCTCGGGGTGATTAGGATGTGGTCAGGCACACCCTGTGCACATGCCTATGATCCAAGGCCAGGTCTTCCCTTCAACACAAGGCTGCCGGCTTCCAGGTTCCACCATGGCCACAGGCAATGTGTTGTCTTAAAGGGCTAGCTGGCATGTTGCTCAGCATTGGAGCAATGCATCAACACGCTAGCTTCCAAGCTCCCCGTGCCTCCTAAGTGTTTGCTGTGACTGTCTCATCATTTCCTGTGCAGCTTCATGATCCTGTGTCACTTTAGCATTCATGCTTTCCAGCTTCCTCTGTTAATGGTGTGCACCTCTATCACCCCTTGTGACTTCAGCTTTCCTACTTCCCAGCATTCTCTAAAAGTCTAGGTTTTTAAGATGTAACCAACCTGCCCATGTTTTGTATGTTTTCATTTTTAAGAATCGTAATCTCTTCTATCAGATGTATATTATCAACTCACAATTTGCACTTGGCTATTACCTGTGGTTTAGAAGCTTTCCAATATTTAGAGATCAGGCTCCTGGCCACATTCAGAATGTGTGGTATCAATGGTTTCTTATATTTAGGAGCACACAGAGATGTGTTGTAAGATAAAAGGACCCAATGGTCCTGTGGAAGGGTCATGGTAATGATTTACGCTATTGATAATGTTGATAATCTGTTCCTAATAAGATTTCATTAGTGCGCATTTCCACCAAATATAGGAAAGGGTTCCAGGAAACATTAGCAATAAAGAGGAAGCATACATCAATAATGTTCTCAACTGGATGCAGCATATTATTATTATTATACAGGATTTATATAGCGCCAAAAGTTTGCGCAGCGCAGGGGCTGACTGGCAACTTTTAGCCGGGGGGCAAGTACAACCCAGAGGCCCATGGTGCAGCAACTTGGTCCACCTCCCGCTTTGTCTCTTCTCCCTGCCACTTTTGCCATCCATGTAACGGTAGTGTGAATGGTCAGGTGATGTGAGGACTCACTAGTCAGTCCATGAAAGGGGTGACTGGCTGGGGGATGGGCTGCTGCACATTATACAGCAATGCAGAATAATACCATCAGCTATAGAGGACTACAAATCCCAACAATACATTATACATCAATACAGAATACCATCAGCTCAGGGGTCAACGGTGTAATGTAGAGGTCAGTATGTAACCCAGTGCAGAGGTCAGCGGCCAGTATGTAACCCAGTGCAGAGGTCAATGGTCAGCATGTAACGCAGTGAAGCAGTCAGCATGTAAAGCAGTGCAAAGGTCAGTATGGCATTGCAGCGGTCCGTATGTAACGCAGTGCAGAGGTCAGTACGTAACCAAGTGCAGAGGTCAGCAAGTAACGCATTGCAGAGGTCATGTAACGCAGTGCAGAGGTCACTATGTAATGCAGTACATCAGTCAGCATGTAGCGCAGTGCAGCGGTCAGTATGTAATGCAGTGCAGTGGTCAGTAATGCAGCACATCAGTCAGCATGTAACGCAGTGCATTAGTCAGCATGTAACACAGTGCAGCGGTCAGTATGTAACACAGTGCAGAGGTCAGCGGTCAGTAACGCAGTGCAGCAGTTAACGCAATGCAGCGGTCAGTATATAACGCAGTGCAGAAGTCAGATGTAATGCAGTGCAGCAGTCAGCATGTAACACAGTGCAGCGATCAGTAACGCAGAGCCGCAGTCAGCATGTAACGCAGTGCAGCTGTCAGTAACATAGTGCAGCAGTCAGCATTTAACGCAGTGCAGAGGTCAGCGGTCAGTAAAGCAGTGCAGCAGTCAGAATATAACGCAGTGCAGCAGTCAGCATGTAACGCAGCGGTCAGTAACATAGTGCAGCAGTCAGAATGTAACAGTGTATCAGTTAGCATGTAACAGTGCAGCAGTCAGCATGTAACGCAGTGCAGCGGTCAGTAACATGGTGCAGCTGTCAGTAACGCGGTGCAGCAGTCAGCATGTAACGCAGTGCAGAGGTCAGCGGTCAGTAACGCAGTGCAGCAGCCAGCATGAAACGCAGTGCAGCGGTCAGTATGTAACGCAGTGCAACAGTCAGCATGTAACATAGTGCAGCAGTCAGTAACGCAGTGCACCAGTCAGAATGTAACGCAGTGCAGCAGTTAGCATGTAACGTAGCACAGCGGTCAGTAACTGAGTGCAGCAGTCAGCATGCAATGCAGTGTGGCAGTCGGTATGTAATGCAGTGCAGCAGTCAGCATGTAGCGCAGTGCAGCAGTCAGCATGTAACGCAGCGCAGAGGTCACACAGAAAGAACAGGGACTTACAGTGACTCTTTTCCTCTCCGGTTTCAGGTGCTGTGTCATCTTTTTTTCCTCTCCTGGGGGGGGTCGCCTGCACGTTTTCAGGTAATTCCAGCCACTTCCTGCTGTCCTCCCTTTAGGACCCAGGCATACAGTCAGTAGGAGTGCAGTCTCCCTCCAGCCCATGGTAGAAGATGTGGCCCGAGGCAGCTGCCGAGGAGCTCGAGCACTACACGGGCTTATCACAGGCAGCTGAAGAGCCTCTTCTCCTCCACCTCTGCAGGATCCGAGTGGCCGAGAGGGGAGATTGTCGCTGGCGGCCGTTTTTACAGGCACCAGAGAGGCCCGGGGGGCATTTGCCACCCTGCCCCCCGGCTCAGTCCGCCCCTGGCGCAGCGCTTTACAATATAAGGAAGGATGGTAAGTAGGGCCCTGCCCGTGAGGGCTTACAATCTAAAGCATATAATTAAGAAAGAAGGAAAATTATACAAAAGGTATTTGCTAATTTTTACAGGGAGACATAGAATTGAGAAACATTCCTTGGGGTGCAGTTTGTGGCCAGACGTGCACCTACATTGGATAATAGTCTTTCCCCCAGTTTTGGACTTGGCTACACACTACTGGAATGTTTAGATGTGGCACTACATGCTGCTCTAGTTAGCCTTATCTGGGTGATGTGCATAGAGTTCTGTTGTATACTATTAGAAGGACCTTTGAAATGTAAAAAAAAACAATATGTAGACAGAACGACTAGAAGGCTAAGCAATCATATAAGGGATCATTTGTCCAACATCAGAACATGGAAGAACAAGAACATGGCTAAACATTTCTGTGAACAACATGGGGGAGACACAGGATCCTTTAGAGTACATAGTTTGAAAAGAGATGACTGCCCTAAAGAAGAGGTGACCACTTTTCTATACTGAGTAGGAGGGAAGCATGGAATGTAACTCACAATTACGAATAAAA